AGGTAAGATACTAACATTGGGTAACAAGCATTTACTCAAATTAGAATGAGAAAAAATTAGTTTCTTTATGGTACCACAGGAGCGCCTGAGCTCTGCTGCCAGGTCAGAGCCAAGGGCTGCCCGGTCCCTCGCAGCAGCCGGAGCTGACAGCTCCAGAGAGGTATTTCTCAACCTGATCCACCAAAGCACCATCAAACCTTTTGGGGAGAAACACCACGGACCTTGGGGCAGTACCAGTGCAATGAGTTTCCATTTACAGTGAAATAGAAATTAGGCTAAACTTTGACAGGCTGTTTGCTATTTCTGTGTCCCCCTTTTTAGTTGCCTGCACTCGTGGGGATGTCTGTGTTTCTTTGCTGGTCTCTTTTTTCATTATTTTTAATCATTTCCCAGACCCGACGATGATGTTTATGGAGGCCCCGGGGCACAGCGGTGCACCAGGGAACCAGCTGAAAGATGCTGAGCCTGTGTGCGCTGCGGCTCTGCTGTACTCACCCATGGCAGGGTGCAGTCAGTGCAGGGTGGGAAATAAAAGCAAACAAGCTCAAAAGTGGTTGGGGGCAGGATTAATCCAAGGTGACCAGGCTCTGACGGTGACCTTCTGGTAGCAGGGATGAAGTTACCAAGGCAAGGTGCCACCACGCTGCCCACCCATAGCCCTGATACCACCTTTCCAAACCATCCCTCCAGCCCGGAGAGGTCCCCGTCCCCCCGCCTGCACCACCCAGCTGTCCTCCTCCTCCTCTGCCACCGAGCACCAGCTGGACCAACCCCAAATCATTTCCTTTCCAACTCTCCACGTTTTCCCCAAATCCTCTTTGAGACAGTGAAACAAAACTGGTTTCACTGTGTTCCTTATGCTCTCGCACTCCTTCCCGGACTCCTGCGGGAGTTCACGTATGTTTGTTTTGCTTTGCTCGAGGATCTCCAGGTTCCTCCCGACACTGATGGAGCCCTCCTCCAGCCCCAGGGACCTCCAGCCCCAGGGACCTCCTGCCCTGGGGACCTCTGCAGCGCGTCTCGGCCAGCGCTCCAGCCCGGGCTCCCAACGCGTGTCGAACAGCTGGCCTGGCACCCGCGCCCTGGAAGGTCGACAAGCCCTGGTCTGAAACGACAATATTTTATTTCCAACATTCCCATGTTGACTGGAGAAGGAAGCGCCGGTTGATCACACCATGCAGCCAGCGGCTGAGAACAAAGCGGTTACTGAAGCATTCCTGGATGATGGAAAATCAGGGAGGGCTTTAAAGCCGGCCATAGGTTTGTAGATCTAAAAGATAAATCTGCATTGACGCTAACGATGTCAGAGGGGAAAGAGAAGACCTCTGCCAATGGCCCATGCAGTGCCTTAACCAGCTCCAGGCCTCCCCATGCTCTCGGCGCTCCAGAGAGATGCTGAAACGTTCATAGAATCATAGAATCACAAGAAGGGTTTGGGTTGGGAGGGACCTTTAAAGGTCATCTAGTCCAACCCCCCTGCCGTGGGCAGGGACATCTTCAGCTAGATCAGGGTGCTCAGAGCCCCGTCCAACCTGACTTTCATATTCCTGTAACAACAAATTCTTGTAACAACTAAAACGTGGAGATGAGTGTTAGATCATAAAATGTATCAAAGTGATCAGAACAACTTTTTTAAAGCTAAATATAGTCATAGAAAATATTGAAAATATCTGAGACCAGTCTATCCAAGCACATCTACGGACATCTGCGTAGGTCGCCCGGCCGGGCAGAGTCCCGCTCCCTGTCGTTCACATGGAACCAGGCAACGTGTGCCTCGTGCCAATAATACGATATTATAATCTTACAACTTCTGTTACACTTCGTGTCTCTAAAACACATGAAGTCAAATCCAAGCCTGATGCCAACGACCAAAAGCGGGGTTTTTTGGGGAGGTGCACCCTTTTCGTCTGTGACCCTTTGTTTACCGTTATCCCAGCGACGTGGGACGGTTTATTCGGGGTTGCTCACGCACAGAGTACGAAGCAGGCTCGATGCAGGGAGCCTGCGCTCCAGGGCATCGTACAGCGTGCCAGGAGCGGGGAAGAAGTCTACAGTAAATTGCGTATTGTGTCCATACAAATAACGCAGGTCTGCAGACCGGACGGCTGCCTCTGCGTGTAAACGAAGCCGTGGAGCCAAAGCTCGATTTAAAGGCAGCAGTGCAAGGGTAAGAAAAGACGTACGATGGGAAATTTCCACGGGCTCTCTGGCAGATGAGGAAAGGAGATTTCAGTCATTTAATTTTCAATACCTGGACCAATAAATCCTTACTTTACCCACAGGACATGCCGTTGAGTCTAATGGGAATGAAGTTAATTCAGAGGTGTGAACTTGTGGATTTATGGACTCAAGTTCCAGAATTACATCCCGTACTAAACACTGAGTTCACCCACAGACGCATGTCACCGGGCTTCAATGATACAGTAAGTCGGCCATTAAAAACATTTTTTACGGACAAAATAGTCTGTATTTCTTAATCTTGATGCCAAGTTTCAGTCAGCCACCTACGCATTACAGCATCAATTTAATGCACCCGATTATCCGTGTGTGCAGATGTACAAATGGATATTGTCATCTCCCTGACAGAGCACGGGGGTGTGCAGCACCCACTTCACCAGCAAGCGAGTCCCAGGTCTGAGCATGAAACTCGTGTACAGAGCAAACGCGGCTCTGCTTCACCTGCTGTCTCAAGGCTTTGTCATCAGCACTTGGCTGTCACCAGTCGCTTACATCCTTCCTTTCAATCTCAATGTGATTGAAACAATATGGAATGCATAGCTATGTAGTTAGAGAGACCCCGGGTTCTGTGCCAAAAAATAATTGTATAAAATAAGAAGCTTAGCCACACTACTCCTGTCTTAAATTAAAACTTGGAATAAAATAAAAGAGAAATTCAGCTGGCAACTTATTCTAGTTATCCTCCTAAAAGGAGAAACACAGAAATCATCACTCTAGTTAGGAGAGCAGG